GGGGAGGGGGGAGGTTGAACGAAATGAGAGAAACCCAAACAACAGATGAAAACAGACACTGTCAATAACGTAAGATTGAAGCTATGGGCACGTTTCTCGTGTACTTAGAAAAAATGTAAGATCAACATCTTTTGAGGAGATAAAGTTAGTTGTGTCACGACGTGCGGGAATCAGGTTCTCGTCAGTGTTTGAGCATAATAATGTGTAGTTATTTGAGCCATCCTAAAGCCTGTTCGTTTATCTTGTATTAGGTGGAAAAACTGCCTATCCATCTTCAACAAAAGTCGAAATATTTTGGAAGGAAGGAGGTGTGGTCACCTTCTTTCAGAGTTTAAATAAGCGAGAAAATGGCTGTCAAAGTTTGGTGCTTTCCAAAGCTTTAGAGTCCTTGGAAACTGCAAATTTACAGCTTTTTGAGCATGTTTTTTTTAAAGACAAATGAAAACAGAAATATGATTTTAAAAGGAGATAAAAGGTTATTTAGCCCTCAAAATAAATAAATAAATAAATAAATAAATAAATAAATGTATAAATTCGTTACAAACTGCAAAACGGTAGAAAAATTTTGATGTTGGTATCTTAGATTTCAAAATTTTGACGAGCGCCTGTAATTTTACAACGATCCTTAACACCTGTGGGTACTTAAAGCCGTCGGTGACACAATTTATGTTATTTAGGAGCCGTGCTTTTTTATCCAGTCTCTCGGGGCCAACCCAGTCAGAGAGGGATGCAAGGTCACCGCAGGTAGACTCGATAAACATTGTCGGCTCACTCGAAGAAAACTATTATTCCGAGTACAACGGGAAGCACTTAACATGACGTAATTGTCTATTGGCAAGATCCGTTCGATTCAGGCTGGATTGGTTATGGCGATTTTGCTATTAAAAAAAAACCCCCCCACCGAAACCTGACTTGCTGCATCAAATTTCACTTGAAAGTCAAGTAAAGCAGAGAAATCTTTGACTTCTTTTCTGTTTCTTCTTCTTTGTGTTTGCCCGCTAGATCTCTTGGGAAGTCGACTGCTGGTTTGTCTACCTAAGTGCGACTGATATTTATAAATTATGCGACCGTTTTTCCTCTTTTGTAGAACCCTTGACATCAGGCCGCCACATTCCGATTTCGAAGGTTCTTTATGTGTTTTGTGTACTGACTAAAGTGTTTCAATTTTTGTAGAAATTTTGAATTTTTCATGGTAAGTGCCCGAAACCTACTTTTATCTTATCGGTTTATGGTCAACAGGGGATCTTTAACGTGCGCATTCGACCTCTAGTGACCGAGATACATGGTGCAGAGGTCATATCTGGCGTTGTTATAAATAGACGTACCGAGTTCACAACACAGCCAT